GGCTTTCTACTCCCGTAAAGATTTACACCCTCGGAAACCCTGTACAGGGTCGCTATGGGTCGGAACCGACTCGATGGCACTTAACAACAACAGAGGGTAGATACATGTTAATATGAGTAATGGGGCCAGAAACACAAAGATAGTGGGAGACAGGGAGGAATGCAAGAATTAAAGTGAATAGAGGTAAATACTGTTAACTGATGGTACAAGAGGGGGTTGCCATCATCGTAATGAAGCAAAGTATATGATTCATTGAATGTAAAATTGATGATCTGCTCCGTAAACATTTACTCAATTCACAATAAAACATTTAAAAAAATCATAACCTATAAAATCCTATCCGACAGTCCCATGCCTCAACAACAAGAAGGCAAATAATCCAATTGAAAAATGGCAGAGGACATGAACAGCCAAGTTCTACTCTGATATATGGAGTTGCTGTAATTCAAATTGACTTGGCAACGCCTAACAACAGCATTATTAATGTAATTAATGAGAACAAAGGTTCCACAGGCCCAGAGCTTCTCAAAAGCAAAGAGCTAATGTCTTCAAAAGGGTTGTCAGCAAACACTCAAAAGAGTTGGGGGTAAAAAAAGGAAATGGCACAGTTCACTACTTGTTGAAATGACTTCATTGCATCTAATTTGACTGATCATGATTCTCTGGACAAAGGCTACTTTGATATCATATGTATGACATGCCTGTGCGCATGCAAAACAATTTCCCTTAAAATAAGCCCTGTTGAACACACCAATGTCCCCTACCTGAACCAGTTGCAAAAGGTAATGTAGAACATCATCATCCTCCAAACTCTCCAGTTTCTGAACTGCAATGGCTCTTACATTTTCATCTGAAAAGTTGCAGTCCAGGAGTTGCATAGTTAACCCAACATCCAAAGTACTTTGATCCCAGACCTCCCTTCTGGCCAACAACTGGTATGTTTTGGCCACGATTTCTTGTTGTCCCCATTTCACTGAGCTGAATAGCTTAGGATACGCTTTGGGATGTTTAAGGCTTTCATATCTAAAATGCCAGAGCAATTCTTTGTCCTCTGCTGTGAGAGGGTTAAGTGGATCAGTGGATATGATGGCCTCTAGTTGCTTCCTAAGCTGGTTGGGCATTTCAGCTCGAACCCTGTCACCTTCAGGGTCAGGGGTGGGCTGATGCTTAGGCAAAGCTATTGGATGGCAGTAATTGTCCAGAAGAATGGAGATGGACATTGAATTATCCTTGTCTGGGTTGGTTGCTGATGTAAGCTTGTCAGCATTGAAGCTTCCCTGGTCTTCTCCCTTCTCGGATATCTGCCACATGTGGAGCACATATTCCCCATGGCGCAAGAGGAATCGGTGGTCTATCAGTAGCAGGTTCACGTAGTAGAGAAGCTGAGCTTTGCCTTTAGACTCAGTACTAGGAGTCTCTGTAGAGGCCTTGCCAGACAAGGCTGGGGCTTTACCACAGTAGATCTGAAGGTTTAGTAACGCCCCTTTGGGCAAGTCTTTGATTTTGATACCAAACTCAAGCCACACATTCCAGAGCACCTCCTCTGTGAAGGGTTTGGAGCTAGTTCTCCTTTGGCAAAGGACTTGCTGCCCATGCTGAATGTTGGCCTCCACGAAAACTGTGAGGTCAGTGTTCCTGGGCAGCACAGGGATATCGATGCCTCGGATCTTTACCCGGAACTTCCGGTCACAGTCCCACAGAGACACTGTGAATACACTCTCATGATCCTTCCCGTGAATGGTCAACTGCTCATGGTAGCCGGTGACCCCGGTGCAGTCATCCACAAGCGGCCACTCTTCCTTCCTCACCTCATCCAGAGCTGGGTCCGGAGGAGTGTCAAGCACCACGTGAATCTCTTCTCCATTCTTGAGGCAATGCCTCACCCACTGGAAGTTTTTGATGGGCGTTTCACCCACCAGGTATTCGTCCCGGCCACAGACACGCAGCACAAAATCCTGCTCATTCTGACTTTCAGGGATATCCATCAGAGACTTTTTCTTAGCCATCTTGGCAAAGAAGCTCTGCAGGATGGTGCCTGGGGTGTCATCTGGGGAGACCTTGATAGTTTGGCTGGTAGTGCTGCGATGAATGATGATGAAGATGCAGTTGTTGCTAATTTTCTTCAACAGATACTCTGGGAGAGGCTTGGATGTCACCCAGGGATGCATGGCGTACAGCTTGGGGTCACGGCAGGCCACCTCGGCCATGCGAGGGGTGACAAGGCGGCGGCGTGTGAACTCGAGCTCATCGTCGTGCACATTGCTGACGTCGGTCACATCGTAGCCAATCAGCGCCGTGAGCTGCTGCTGGAAGGCCAGGGTCTCCTCGGAGGGTGCGTGCCGCTGCACCACGTGGATCTGGCCAGGGCTCCTGTGTAGCACCTTCCAGTAGCGCACGCAGTCCAGGGTCTGCACCACTTGGTACCTGTCGTAGATCTCATACCACTGTCCCTTTTTCTGGTAGAGCAGGAGGAAGTGGTCTGGGCTGAGCCGGTGGTAGAAGTCAGCTGCCACACTCACTTCCAGTGCGCGCAGCCACACCTGTGTCTTCATCTGCTCCACGTTGCCATGGCTAGCTACGTGTAGCAGCACTGTTTCTGGGGTCTTGCTGTTGCGCTGGCTGGTGGGCAGCACGAACTCGATGGGGATGAGTTCCATGGAGGACAGGCTGGCTGCCGTGCTACGCGGTTTCATCCTGCGGCGCCTGCGGCAGTTGTCTGCTCTCAGAACCACGGGTGGTTCATGGTTCTCCAGATCCATGCCCTATGTGACCTGGGAGCAAGGAGAAACCAAGGACTTTGTCACAAGAAAGGCACTTTGTTATGAAATGGCAGAAGTGAAAGATGTAGATTTCCGTCTGCACATGGATACCAAGGGACCAGACCAGGGTTTTGAACCACTTGGAGCCAGCCGTGGCCAACAACGCAAAATCGAGGCAGGTCCCATTTCTTTAAATGTAGGTGAATTGGAACAACAACTGAAACAGGAAATATTACAGGTGGAAACCCTGGAATGGGAGACTTAGAAGAGGCACAGTGAGCCCATTCAGGAACCTGCATAGAAGCCACACACATTCAAAGCCACCATCTCAGAACTGGACACTTGTTTTTTTCCAGCTGTGCAGATCAGGGATTTAGTTGCTGTGCAACGCACAGGCTCCCCTTGTCTTCTAAGAGGAACATTAGTTTTCTAGCAGGGCATTAGCCTATATTTTTTTTCCTGTTATGGGTATCATCCCAATTCACCCACATTTTACAAATTCAGGTTCATTCCTGCTTCACTTCCTTGACCATGACCGAACCAGAAAGAACAGTTTTGAAGACCTGTACCAGACACATCAAAAAACAAGCAGGTACTTCAAACCCTAATAGCATGGGCTTTGGAGAAGGAGACCCCTGAATCCTGGCTCCTCCACTTCGGATCTGGGTGACTTGGGCAAGTTAAATAATCTCTGAGTCTGTTTCTCATCTGTCAAATGTGCTTAGCAATGTCTCAGAGGGTGAATGAAAGTGAAAATGAAAACAGTTTTTGAATATAGGCGATGGATATACAGCGATTGTTGATCATTTTTTCTATTTTTTTTTTTATGTGTTTGAAAATTTTAGTAACAAAAAAATCAGGTGATATATGTAAAGCAGTAATCTTTCAGAGTGCTTGTCATGATGGCTCAGCATAGCAATTGTGGTTTGTCAGCACACAGGAACACCTAAATGAGCAGAAGAATACAGCTGGAGCCCTAATTTAATGGCACAGTGTGACATGCTGAAACTCTACTTTGAAAACAAATCATTGACTTCTCATTTGTTCATTGTCACACTTCTCTCTGGGACCCAGACACCTTAGCAACCTTGTTTCGAGTTCTTTATTTTCAAACTGTTTGGATCCTGGATCTACTCCCTAATCAACTTCCTCTTCTTTTGTTTTTTACAACCCCTCCCCCCTTTCTAAATCGGAAAGCTCTTCATTTCATTCATGCAACTAGAAAGAAAATATCAGAATTGGTAAAGTTGCAGTCAAGACCATTTGCAAATATATAAAACGGATTCATTAAATATCTGACCATTCTGGCTGTCACTGCTATATTAGGCTGTATGTTAAAGAAGTTTTTCAAGGCTATACTTTCCTAGTATGAACAATCAGGTATTTTAACCTTATACCAATTCATCTGATCTCTGCTGTAGAAAATGGGGAGCTCGAAGATGGAAGGTAGAATGTCTGACTCCAGCAAACTGCTGCATAGACACCAATTATTTAACTTCTGTTTCGCTCGAATAGTTTCATCTCTATAACAAGAATATACAAATTTATTCTCATTAACTTATTTAATAGGTATCTACCATGCACAAACCATTTAAGTAAATAAATGTGACATGCTACAGTTCGAAATTTACAATTATTTTGCAATGCTAAAAATATTAACATTGAAATATGAACCAAGTATTTTAATTTTAATACAGTCATGCACTGCATAATGACCATTTGGGCCACATCTAGCCCCATGTATGTTTGTGCTCCCAACTCCTGTAAAGCTTATATTATATTATATTTTAGTATAATAATACTAAAATTTATTGAGATACATTGAATGGTTCATAAAAACAAACAGGTGCTACTTTGCAACACACATCAAAACATTATCATAACTATATTGTCATATTAGAGATGTTTTCATGTATCTGGAAGTTTTTCTTTACTGTCCCTTATTCATAAAAAGGTACACTATATATTAGGACAAACATTGATTAACTTAAGTTAGAAACAAACTGTATCTAATTGTTCAACTTAGATACACATTCACATAATGCCCTATTCCACGGAATGTATTGTGGACATCAAGGGGCACAAGGCTATACTTAGTATCACTACATTGTAAGGCATTATATTCTAAAGAAGAATCAACTACTGAAACAGAATCATATTAAAATTCAAAAACTAGCGTTTACTTTGTTAAATGACTTAATGTTAATGAGTGAGATTCACTATGATTTCCTGAAGAAATTAAATATGAGAGTGCTTCAAAAAAAAATTCATGGGGAAATCACACAATTTTCTAATTCCATTTTTCCATGGACTTTTTGAATACCAAAAAAAGAATTTGATTAAAAGATAAGGAAAACAAGCTTCATTAGAACCAAACTTAAGTTCACATCTCGTTTTAAACTTACTTTACCAAAGTTAGAAGTTTTATAACTCACTTTTAATGTCAGTATTCCCTCTCTTAAAATATTACACAAGTACACATGCTAAGTAAATGGAAACCAATTGTTCTATAGAACTGTTTCTGGCAACTTAGCAAAGTCACTGTTGGATATTTGCTACCTTAGAGAATGGCTAACCAAGGAGAGAACTGCTAGACATATTCATATTGTCATTGACATCTAATAAAGTAACCTGTATCCAAATTTTGGCATCATAAAACTGCATAGCAACAACTTCTGCCTCTGTGATACCAAACCATCTTACAAGATATTATATACAGAAAACATGCTGACTACTCACTGCTTGCCTTCATGGTTATGGAGTTTTCTTCTTGTAAGACGTTAGAAAGCCTGCAAGCACAATACTCTCTAAACATACACTTGTAAGAATATGAAGCCTGGCGGCACAGGCTCACTTACCCTCCCCCTTCCTGCCAAACAAAAACACAGGACTGCTGCACCTGCAAAACCATGTCCGGAATCATGTGGACATCCAGAGGCATAGGTAAGACTATACAATGAAACAGACATTCAGCGCTAATATCATCTCAAGAATCAACAAGAGCTCCAGATAAAAATATTCTAGCTGAGAAGGAAATGTTACTGTTTCAAGTCAGAACCAACAAAGGGCAGTAAGTAGAAGGAAATAATACCTGGTAATACTTGATAAAGCAACGGAGTCGATGGTGCAGAAGAATAATTTGTTTAATTTCTGAAAACAAAACAAATTCAAACCTACCCCGGGTGCCTGTAAACTCTTCCGCTTTTCTGGGTCTCCCTTCGTATCCAGATGCAGAGGAAGTGTTGCAGTTACCAGGAAGGAAGTTTTAACCAAGTTGATTATATGTGTGATTGCTCATTTGAAAAGTGTCAGAAATGCATTTCCTGTTATAGCACAGAGAGAGCAGGAGCGTGAGCAATACCGTATATTTTAAAACTCTTTGAACTATTTTTGAAAACATTGTGAGATCCTGAGACAAGTTAAAATGACACAGATCCAAACAAAAATACACATTTATAAGACAGAAAGCAAATGACTTTTTTCCCCTTCGCTAGCTGTAAGCAGAAGAAAGGCCCAACAGTCACACTATCAGAGAAACAGCCTATTAGTAAAATTAATAAACCTATCAGGCCTACAAAATCCATTCTCTAATATCCCTCAGGGGAATTCAAATGAACCCTTCAGACACAAAAACTAAGGGCTAAGAAAGAGAAACCTAGTGCTCTAGAGAATTGAGCTATGAACTTGAACGTTTTCAAAGCCAAGGCCTGTGTACTCACTTCCTTAGCTTGGTGAGTGATTTCTCAATTTTTTATATTCAGAGAATTCAGGTCCTAAAATATCACTGACTCAAAGCAAAAGTAGTACAGCTAATCTGTGTGTTCATGAATATTGGGGGTGGAGGATTTGGTAAGCAGTAATTGACTACCATTAAAATAGTTGCTGTTGTTAAGTGCCATGGAGTTGGTTCCAATCATAGCGACCCTGTAGAGGCTTTAAAGAGCAGCTGGTGGACTTGAACTGCTGACCTTGTGGTTAGTAGTTCAGGGCTTCTCCTACAGAGGACTCCTCTGTTAAAATAGAGAGGTTGTTTAATATCATAGGAAAATTAGGGAACTGAACGCATCACATCATCAGGCAGATTGTTGTTGCTAAGTGCCATTGAGTTGGTTCCGACTCTTAGCAACCTTGTATAGGATTTCCGAGGCTGTAAATCTTTGTGGGAGCAGAAAGCCTCATCTTTCTCCACAGAGCAACTGGTGGTCTCGAACTGCTGCCCTGGTTTGCAGTCTAGTGCTTATCCTGTAAAGCCACCGCACTCCAATCATAAACTCACTGAAAAATGACTCTCAATTCCCATGGGAATAGTTGTTGTTAAGTGCCTTGGAGTTAGTTCTGATTTTTACTGACCCTGTATAGGGTTTCCGAGGAGCACCTGGTGGGTTCAAACTGCTGACCTTGAAATTAGCAGTCAAGTGCTTATCCTACAGCGCCACACAAGCCATCCTAAATCTTTCAGGTGATCCCAATTCCTTACAGAACTCCTAAACATCCTCGGATCCTGTACCAGTGCCCACCTATTTCCCAGGGCTTCACATACCTGCGTTCACCCTCCAGCCTGGGCTTTCAAGGGATCCAGCAGAGTTCCAGGGACAGCTGGTAGAATGAAGTTGCCTCCCAGGTCTCTTGGTGATATTTAACTTACATCTAGTCTTGTTTTACATTATAGCCTTGAAACTTCCTCTGAATAACCTTGACATCAAGATTAATAATTGTTTGAGGTTCCTTTACATAGGTCCCTTGGGTCTTAACTTTTTTTTTTTTTTTCAATGTTTTATTGTGAATTATGTGGTACTTTACATGGGAGAACATTAACTATACATTCATCCTATCGTATATCATTTCATTGCCATGGTTACAGTCCCCTCCATGCCTCATCAACCAACCAAAGGGTATACACTGCAAGCCTGCCCCTCGGTCCTCAGCACACAGCCCCTCTTCCACTCTAGATCTAGAGTTCCCCAGTGACTCCACCTCTCCA